GCCAGAATGGCCACAACCCCAACTGTCCTGGAGGTGGGCCGAAAAAGAAAGGACTTCTGTCGTCGCACCGCCTGACCACCCAGCAGTGCTGAGACATTTTCGCCCTGTCGATTGGCCCGGAGAGATGCGGGTTCGAAAGTCGTCAATGCGGACGTCTCTCTGCCCGGCTGTTGGCCGGTTCAGGATCCCTGCAGCCCACCTGCATCAAGTTGAACAAACCTGCCACTTTTCTCAACCGCAGGGAGAAGACGGCTGTCCGTGTCAGTGGCTTGGGCTCTGTGGCTCTCTATGGCTCCAGGAAAAAGAAAAAATCTCGGGGTGCGAAATGATAAAACAAGCCGAGCAGACTTATTTATGCCGGTAGATCACATACGTAACGGACTCATGCCACTTACCATTTCGTAACTGCTCTTGTTGATCAACTCCAATTCTCGTGTCGGGTTTGCAGGACGCCCCCAAGAGGAGAGTTCTGCATAAGTTGGGCGAGGCAAAGAATAGCTTTTGATGGCTCCCGACTGAAACATTGCGTGTGCACACTATCGCGAAACTTTCGATTTCTGCGTCACTGCTTTCTTCTTCCCGAGTCTACGCATCAGGGAGGCGGGTGAGCAGAGTATTCCTCCTGGTATGGCTACCTTTCCCGTCACGAATGGCGTCACGACATATCTCCCAGCGCCCGAGGGGGTCGAGGTAGATTTTGAGAACCCCCGAAGCCGTCATGCACTCGATCACTATCTTATTTTCGCCCTCCTGGGATCATTAGCCTTGGTCTGCTTGGTCCAGAGGTTCTACACGAAACACTACATTGTCGGAGGATTAACGATAGATGATTGTGAGTTGCTATGAGAAGGGCAACGATCTTGGTAGTCTTAGTTAACGATTGTCCACCAAAGATCTGATCAGTCTTGCCTGGATGGCATCCATTGCGATGCAGTCGACGCAAATCTGTGAGTAACGAATCTTCTCTCGTTCGAATTACCCACCCGCTGACTGAACGCAACGGGCAGGGTCTGTGTCAATTGGAGGACTGTGTCATCATGCTTGGGAAATGCCCATCAGTGTATACACTAATCACATGCTTGTATGCAGGCTCCTTACACCTGCTCACTCCATGGTTTCTGACCTGCTTACATTGTGGAATCCATAGAGTTCTTATATTGCGGCACCGGTCTTCATCGCCTGTAACGGCTTGAGCAAGTCCTCACTTTTGACATTCTATCTCCGGATCTCTACTCAGAAATGGTTCAAAATCAGCATCTGGGCTGCCATCGTCATGGTATGTGGATACACCTGCACAATCGCCGGCCTTCTTCTTTTCGGCTGTCGCCCTATTCGATCAGCCTGGGATCCCTACGTATCCGGGAAATGTGTGAACTTACCATCACTCTACATCGCTATCGCGAGTGCCAATATCGTTTCAGACGTTGTTCTTTTCATTATCCCGATCCCAACTGTCCTGGCCCTGAAAATGCCCTTCGCCCATAAAGCTGGGGCAGCCATTATGTTTGCCGTTGGATCCATGTACGTGTATCAACATCCATTAACAGGGCTAAGGGACATCGATTAACTGTCTGTAGCACCGTTGCAACATCGATCGTTAGAATGGCCTATCTTTCGTCACTATTATCAACTGATGACATTCCATGGGTCGCTGGCACGGCCAACGTCTGGTCGTAAGTCCCCCTTACCACTCACTTCCGTAATATCGTAATACTTCTAACACTCTATATAGATTCGTTGAGGTCAATCTTTTCATAATTTGTAGTTCCATGCCTACCTTTCGCCGGTTTCTCCATCGATTCGCGCCAAGAGTACTCGGGTCGTGGGATTCACAGCCCTTGAGGTCCAAAACTCATGAAACGTCTGCGAGTAGATCCCGCCGTCACAATCATACCGGGTACTCACAGTTTGATGATATTGAAATGAACAGCGTATCTGACCAGGAAAAAAAGGGTCCCAAAGTCAATGTCGCAATTGGTGAGCCGGCAACGACGTCGGTGGATTGTGAGGCCGCACCGCGAACCAGCCATGACGGCTCTAGCTCAGAGGGAATCTCCTACACCCGGACCTTCGACGTCCAGTATAGCAGTAAATAAACGTATGAATAGATGGATAGATAAGTTGACGAATAAATCTATGAAGGATAAAAATAATATAGTGTAATCTAACCTCATCTACACTACAGAATCCACACGGCCTCTCCAGCCTAGCCAGACAGTCTCAGTTCTTTATACTCGTGTTTAGGTTGAAAATAAGAGCATCTCCATTCTCGAGATATAACTATAACTTTACCGTCCCTATGTTCATAAGATAGTCAATTCTATTAGAAACCTTTTAATAGCAAGTCCTATGTGATAAAATCAATTTGTAGGTGCTCTGTTTCTGTCCATGGAAGCTGGTGAAACTAGAGTAGGAGCTACCAACAAATATACAAGATTAACAGACTAAAATATGACTAAGGCTGTACTCTGAACATACTCGCAATACGGCTTTTCTGTGTTGTAGATGGTGTAATTTCTTTACCATGTTTAGTTATGTATTCCAAACTAGTTGAAAATTTCAAACCCAACAAGATCTGGCGCCCACGCCTCTGCGCCGTGTGAAGCAAAGGCGACAATGTTGTCCTTGCCCTTCTTGAACCCTTCTAGCTCAATAGTGAGGCGACCGGATTCGTACCAGTCATTTCCACCAAGCGGAAAGGCCCAACGTTTGGATTCTTCGTCGTTGACAGTGATAGTCATGTTGCGTGTGTTTGCTCCCTGTCCCCAGGCTTCTCTATGGTGGTACTCGTAGTTGATAAAGTCCACAGCCACTGTCAAGGATCCATCACTGGGTGACTCAACTCCCTTGAACAAAACCTTGGCGCCTGGACCAATCCACCCGACCTTGCTTTTAACAGGGAGGCATTCTCCTTCATCGCAACCAATAAGGGCAGCTGACCCTTCAAGGGTGGCATCCGCGACAGAGAAGTACCCGTTCGACTGTGGGAGATCTACCTTTTCGATGTCACTCAACACCAACAGGCGCAACTCATGTGGTTTTAGCTCAAACGACTGCACGCCACTAATTTCAACGTCCTTGCTGGCCCAGACGTCATGTGCCCGAGCAGTTCCGACGCCAATAAGGCTGAGGTCAACTTTGACAGTCTGGGTCTCGTTTCTCCAGTTCGCGACGCCCAGAACCTTGCGGTCAGATGAGAGATCACCAGCCCAAACATCCCACTCTTCCTCGGTGTGTCGGAGCACGAGCTCAGCGGCCTTTCCTAGCGGATCTTGGTTTATCGCTATGGCCTCTTTGTTGGACATGATCTCGAGTGATTCCTGAGGAATCTGCGAGTGGTCCATGACACCTCCAATGAAAAGAGGGGACTTCAACATCGACCAGAGGCCAAAGTGAAATCTCTCTTCATCATAAGAGAGGGCGCTCAGCCCGACGCTATATGCCATGTCAGACAGTCTCCGCGTTCACACATACGTATCAAACTCACATCAACATATCAAGATCTGCGAAAGCCCCTGGCACTGTGTACCTAGTGTGAGGCACAGCCTGGTTCACGATTCTCCAAATGCTACGCCACGCATTGAAGATGTCGTTGCTCATCCTCCAAGTGTTGCCGATAGGGGCCGACCTGGGCTATTTCAGAATTCATCATCTCATTGGGTTGGCGAGAAACAGAACAACTTACCACTGGGGCACGTCCTCTCCTATTCCCCATTGACAGAGAAAGTACTTGATGTCGCGGTCCGTCTCGTCAAGAGCCGCTGCCATCTTGATGAATCGTGCTGGGCTTTTTGACTCATCGGAGTCGATGTCCACCATGACATCTCGAGAAGTGGAATAACAATTGTCATATCTAGCAACACTTTAGATCCAAGCTCTCCATACATACGTCGAGGCACTTACTTCAGTGAGTCACCTCCCCAGTCAGCGAAGGACTGAGCATCAATCTCTTCATAGCCTAGTAGGTGTCAGACGACAGACGATGATAGCCAGATGGGCTGGTAAGGGAACATACCCAAAGACGCTGGAAGGTCTGTTGAACCACACTGGAGATATCCAGCGCCAGAATATAGTCCAAATTCCAGTCCAAGATCATGGATGAACTCTCCAAGCGCATGCGGTCCAGAAGGGAATAATGTCGAGTTCCACACCATCCGGCCATCAGAGTCGCGGTCTCTGGCAGGCCAGCCACAATCCACCGTAGTCACAGTATACCCAAGATCCGCAAACCCCAAATCAACCAAACCCTGCGCATTCAGCTTGATGATTTCCTCTGTTGGGGAACAGCCGTACTTGTTGTAGCTGTTCCATCCCATCGGGGGCGTAGCAGACTTGACGGTTGCCGCACTGGCAAGGGGCAAGCCAAGTGCTAACAAAGCGAATGCAGCCCGATTCAGGTTCATCTTTCTAGTGTCATTAACTCCCATTGAACTAGAGAACATCGGTGGTCCCAATAACAGGAAACTGGGGGCCCCATGGGGTTCTTTAATAATAGCCGCAATCCCACATGTGTTCAAAAACCTGACCTTGGTTGGCATACCGTACCTTATTTCATTGGCCCGCTTGTGCAACAACACGATGCTACATATTTCGGGGGGATCATCTCTACTAAAGGCAAGAGGATGATTCAAATTGTGGATATCCCGCGGCGAGATACACCATATACCATCAACATTAGCCGGAGACTTGATTGCCGATCCAATGCCAGCCATGAGTATAATGAAATAGGCTAATAAATACCGACTTAAGTCGTATTCGATCATTCAACGCGCTCCTCTTAACTAATTTTCTTCCCTACCTTACTGCTAGGTATCCGACCAAATAGCAAATGAAACCACGCCACAAATCGTCGCTCTCTAACTGCTTTCCTAGTAAAACGATCGCGGGACTCACTTCAATGGTCCTAATACACTCAGATCTTCGGATAAACATCCAATGTCATTCAAAAGTATCCTCAACTACGTGGTGCCGTGATTCTGCCCCTTCGAGCATAACCAAAATCATCCGTTCATCACCTCTGTAAGCTCCACCAAGACTCTCTTCCCATCTCGCACATGAACATTGGTCAGAGTAAGGGACGATCCAACAGCCTCAGTCCCGCCCTCCTTCTTGGTCGTGGTGAAATAACCAAGCTGCGCGACGCAACCTCCGCCCAGCCCATCCGGAGCGTTCCAAGTATGGATCTCCTTGCTTGACTGGGCTGCCATGTGGCTGGCGGCTCGGGCAGCTTTGATAATCTCCCAATACTTGGCTTTTCCGAGCTGGTCGTGATTGATCCTGGCAAGCAATGGGCGGTTAGCATTTTTCACTCACGCATGCCGACGGCGAGAATTATCTTACCTGATAACCGCGTCGTCAGCAACACGCTCTTCGAATGTCTTTGAAGCCAGCGCATCATCCGGTTGGAAGAAGATGTTGTGGGACAGCCCATCAAACCAGTCAGCGAGTGAGCTAGAGTTGGACAGGGAATCGGCGGAGGCCATTGTTGAATAAAATGCTCTAGGTTGGAAACTGAAAGATTTGAAGGCACGATGTCTAAAGATCTTTGTTGCCATTTGGAGTAGTCTGTTACCTGGACTTTGCCATCATTTATATAGTTGATGATCAGGCGAGAGTGCCAGCTCCGACATGTTGTTGATTTCTAATCGTTCTGATATCTTACTGCGTGATTCTATACATATGGTGGAATTCCGCAACCCAGAGCTGATTCCACTCTCCAGCGTATTTCAAAACATCATCTGCATTCTGTTCGTATCAAAGGCACTGTCCAGAGTTCTGAGTCTTCTCACACCGGCGGAGCTCACGCCGCCTCAGACGGCCGGGACCAATGAAGATGGCGAACCAGCTCCACGACTGCTCCAGGCGGCGGGCAAATGTGGGGGAGCGGACAAACGTGGGTCTTTGGCTTGCTGACACTCAGGAGAAGACGTAACTTGGCGCGTCCTTCTCACGTCTACTCTCGAGTCGGTCTGCGCCCAGGTCGGGGTTTGTTCATTGCGCCCGGGCTCGTCTTGTCTGCAAGATCCAATCACCGTTCCAGGCGAGCGGAGTTTGTCAATATGTCACTAGAGAAGTCATCCCAGTCGTTGCGGCGCAAGTCCTGCGGCGCATGTGTCCGTTCCAAGAGGCGGTGCGACTTGGCCGAGCCCGTCTGTTCACGATGTCAAATGAGGCGCATCGATTGTGTCTACCCTCAACGACTTGGCGTCATTGACAACGCCTCAGCTAGCAGTTCCAGTCTAGATACACCGTTACCCCAGACGTCGGCGTATGGCGGGCAATATCCGACCAGCGTCGCGCAGTTCAGCAGCCAGGGGACGCTTACACTGCCTGCTCCCACCTCGCTGCTCGTGGATGACTACACCAATATGCACATTCCTGCTTACCTGACGCCCCCGTCCGGTCCATTCGGGTCTGTCCCACGGCCTCTGTCCCCGGGGATGTTCTCCCTTGTCCAGGACATCCTTGGCGAGCAGCGGTTCACTTCCCCGTCTGACCTCGGACTCTCGGCCGGCTCCCACAGTAACCCCCTTCTACCCTCCACAGGCCAGACCAGCTCCTGGAGTAACGACATAATCACCGGTAGCAACTTTCAGCCTCGCACAGAATATGCTGCGCGGTTGATGGCGGACCAGCCCGCCACCCTGGCCCAGAACGGGTACAATTGTTTCATCCATCACACCCAGGCCAATTCGTCTGCCGTTCTGCAGGATGCACTGGCGGCAAGCGCCCTACAGGCGATGAGAAACCCGTCCAACGCGGGTGTCGTCAGAGCTGAAATCATGAGGAGGGCAAGGCTGCTCATCAGCGCGGTAGAAGCGGCGAGGGAGAACTACCTGCCTCTATTCAGCATGGACTTCCTGCCACCTGTGCAGGCTCTACTCGTCTACCAATCTATGCGCCTGTTCTCCGTGGGGGACTCTGCCTTGGTCGCGCAGGCCGAGAGGGACCAGGAAAATCTGCTCGCATGGACCGAGGTGCTAGACAGCGAGATGGACCTCTTCCGGTCCGCCCCGGACAGCTGGGAGACCTGGATACGTAAAGAGAGCGTCCGCCGGACCTTGGTTTATGTTGAGATGCTTTCTGGTGTGTATAGGTTCCTGCGGAGGGGCTGGGACTACGCAAAACAGGAACGCATGGCGAGCTTGGGATTCTCCGTTCAACGTGCTCTCTGGACGGCGAGGACGGCCAATGAGTGGACAATTGCTTGGAGCAATCTCCCTAGATTAGAAACTATCATGGCCCGCACGCCCAGGGACATGAGAGAGGCCACGACTTACGATGTAGATGATTTAGGTGTGATGCTACGGGCGACTTACTTTGGGATTGAGAGCATGGAGAGGTGGATCGGAGAGGATGCATCTGCTCTGGAGAGATGGGGGTTGAGGCATTCTGGGCGTGGATGGCGACCGGTGAATCCAATGCAAGAAAGATAGGATAGTCTGTAGTTCAAACAAACCAGCTGGAGTCGACGATAGATGTCTTGTGTAGATAGAAATGTAGACACTTTTAGATACACGATCATTCCCATTAACAAATGCAATAACCGTGCCGCCATGAAGTTACTTTCACCTCCATTGTAATAGAAATGAAAACCTTACAGCTATAAGACATACAGTCTCCTTAAAGGGGCGACTCATATGCCGCCAATGAAGAAAACAAAGCAGATTTTGATCTTCCGCCGCGTCGAGGTCTGCAGCTTCGCGACCTCTTGAATAGGTAGCACGATAGTCACCAAGTCAATGGCCGTGTTCATAGTCGAGTTACTGAACAAGAGGAGTATCGTATCCAAGCACTTCTTCGTGGGAAGTATCTGCAGCTCGATGTGCCAGAAAGCTCTCAATGCCCGTATTGAGAGATATACATAATTTGGTCAATGCGGAATTTCAGTAAGTTGACGACCTGGGGAGCTGCCTGTACTTTCCTCGCTTTCATCTTGCTGCCATGGGATCCTATCGTTTTAACTTTGCCCCTCGAATGAGGAGCTAGTAGGATTTAGACCACAATCACATATTCCTCTTCATGTTCCTTATAACGCCTGAGTTGGACGAGTATGCGTATCAGAGACAACGACGCACTGGTGTTCTTGGGGTTGCTTCCGTCGTCAGTTCCAATTCGGCTGTCAGAGCAACAGATTCCTGATCACTCAATTTTTGTTATTACTGTAGCACGCTATAATTATATATCTATCCCGTTATCCTCCATTCGCCATCGCAAAATTGTTTTTGTATCTTCTGTACTTTCAAATTCCCAATTTCCCTACTGTCTTTCTGATTTTATTTCAAGACGAATCGCTCAAGCTGCCTTGGCACCTTGACTAGATTACAATTCAATCTGCCGGTGTGTCCCAGCATGCTAGAACTGCAACATTCTGTTTGGGTTTATGATCCTCTCAACGTTGGTTTGCACCGCGCGAAACTTCATGAAACCGCACGACTCGCTTTCCAGGTGGTTGATGGTTGCCGCGAGCGTGGTGAAGTCACGGCGGCAGCTAGGGTTGGGACAGTGATAGAGCGCCTGTTGATGGACAGGAGAATTGAGGTGCTGGTTCAGTCCATTCAGCGTGTTGAACAGCCGGTTACAAAGATAGCACTCAAATGCTTCGACGTACGGGTTCCAGGCCCGTTCGTTAGCCGAGTAGGATGATGAGCCGTTCCACTCGAGCAGCTTTTTTGATACGACTCCGTTGGGATCATACTGCCTCACTGCTCGGTAGAGGCTATCCCTATCCAGAGGAGCCCGAGGACAGGCGCCCCGCTCCAAATGGTGTACCAGGCCTGTGGCGGTGCCATGCTGAGATTTGCAAAAGGGGCATGTGACGTTAGTCTGGCGGTGGACGGAGGAATTCAGATGCTACACATCTAGCAGTTAGAATGATGGGCGGTCAGACTTGGTCGTTGATAAGGAGATGATCTACCTGGACAAGGTTGTTTCGGTTCATGAAATCACGGTCGCATGGGCGGCATCGGACGTGGACATCTGCCTCATGCTGTTTGGCCTCCTGCTCGTTTGGGAGGAACGAGTTGCAGGCATTGCACGGGACAGCAGCATCGTTCCAATGGCGCGAGAAGTCCATGTGCCTGCGCCGGCTCTGTTCGTCGTCGAAAACAAAGTGGCACGTATCGCACTCATAGTCGGGCACATAGTGCCCTGTTGCGGAGCAATGCTGATCTCTAGCTTTCCAACCAGCCCAGAATAGGCGGTCGCATGAGCCACACTCGAATGCCATGGTTGCCTGGAATAAACTAGGGATCCGATAGTGCTTGGGTAGTGGATTCGTCCCGGTCGTTCTTTGGACTTGAAGCGGAGGAGCAACGACAGAACCACGAAAGAGGGGAGCACGAAAGATAGTGTTTGGGTACGCTCTGACCCCGCACTCAATGTCTCAGATTCCACGTCACAAGGAAGCCTGTGTTAAGGCTCGACCGCAAGAGTGGCTGGTTTATTGGAAACTGCATTTCGAGGAAAGGGGAGAGAGCACAGAGGCAAGGACACCCCTGGTATCTCGATGTTGTCTAATCTCGAATAGCAGAGGCCGGAGATAGGCCTGTAATATAGGGGTTCAGGTGTATCGATGTTACTTGCGCGTCGCCCTGAGCGCGTTGATTGAATGTTTACACCAGCCACACGTGCACCTACGCAGAGCGAGAGGGTCCGGGCGCTCGTCAGCAGAGTTGGATGTGCAAGTCTTGTTGATAGCTGAAGGATTCCAGTCTTATCTATGCTTCTAAATACAGGCATTAATCGAACTGAGACGATGTCGTCTTCCCGTCGAATGTAGAAAGTGCGTGAGGCGCGAGTCGCGTTTGTCAGTTGCTTATCTTATCAAAGTTTGGCGGGCAAGTGCGGCACGTGATTTCTTCCGTTGAGTGCGCGACCTACCCTAAACACACCGTGCTGAAAAGGTATCAACAACCGTCTGATTCATTCCTTCATGGCCAGTTCAGCTATGATGGTGTACAGGTGTACAAAAGCGGAATGTTAATGCGAAAGCTTTACTATAATCTCATCTTGGTTCTCATGCCGCTCTATTGAATGATCGTTCCTGGAACAACGCATTGATTCTTCAGCAAATCAACATTTGACCGAGAGTGAACCTTACATCAATGCTAGGCTTATATCTTTGTCACAAAATAAGTGGACAATAGACTCGAGTTTTAAAAGGAATATATCTTCTGACTTAATTCTGCTAGGCTCAGCAGGAGCTGTGATCCAGTCGGGGATATAATCAGGTTCGTTCTTCGGAACAGCATGGTCGCTTAACTCAGTTGGTTAGAGTGCCGTACTAATATTATCATCCGATATACCTAGTAATGCGGACGTCGCCAGTTCGATCCTGGTAGTGACCATCCATTTTTGCCTTGCCCCAGAAAAGATAGATAGCATCGGTTATCGCTTCTTTTTGCGACACAAACCACCAACTCGGTCGGCGGATGCCACCAACTCATTCAATTCCCTTAGGCCGGACTGGCGGACAGAACATATGGAATCCTGTATACTCCCTCAGGGGCTGGAATTGCTGGCGAGGGCTCCTGTCACACCCCCGCGATTGGGCAAAGAAGGCTCAAATCCTGCCTGCCCTTCCCCTGGCCCCGACTCAAATCCACAAATGGGGAGGCGAGTTTGCACATGATATTCTAAGCGTGGTTTTCCCTTTCTGTCAAGTTGCCAGACCGATCAGGTATCCATGAAAATCTATGCCCGAACGATACTGAGCCCCTATAAGCTGAAATCGTCTAGAGAAGTGATTGGCGAGTTTGGACATGACGATCGCTAAAATGACGTAGATTTTTCCAGGGTCCGTTGTTTGACCCGCAACAGCCCCCAAGATGATGCGACGTAATAATCTGATACAATGCTGATCAGTCTGTCATGGTATTTAATATTCGGTGAAGATGCTGTTTTTTCTCGGGGCTGAAACAAATTTTCATCCGATGATTTTTGGTGGGCTGGTATTTCCGAACATTGATCCGCTCAATCCAAACCTAATCTACTACTTCGCATCTGACATATAACCTTGATAACCTCCCCGGCTGGGCCCAAACATTGATCTTCAACGATCTCCACGACGCATCTATCGTTACCCGAAAGATAAGGAAAGCTGCGGGGCGACATGTCCGCCGCTGTTTCACGAACGATGGGCTCGCAGGACCACCACACAGGCCACAACGGCTCTGTTGCCTCACGGCCTCTTCCCAGCCTCGCATTATCAAAGAACAAGGAGCTTCCCCCACTTCCTCAAGAACATGTGGGGCCACAGCCACCACATGGATATGTCGAGGGGTACTCTCGACATGGATTCGATGTTCCCCCAGTTCCACCACCCAAACCTAGCCAGATCTCGGCCCGGAACAAGTCACATCACGCTGCTGCCGTTCAACCCCAAGTTGGGTTTCAGAACCTTGCCCCAACCTTTCACATGTGGAGCAGGGTAAAGCCTATTACAGGCAGCGCAACGATAGAGCTGGGCAACCAGCCACTGGCCCATCCTTCTTACACGGCCAAGCTTGGCATGAGCGGCGGAAGGACGACAGTCAGAGATACAAGTCTCGGCCAGGTAGTGGCAGATGGCGCCGAGAAGAATCCCATGAGGTCAAAGTGTACCCTTTCCGTGAATGGCTTCCATAGTGAGCTCCAAAGGAGCGGCACGAGCCACTACTTCTCCGCACCTGTCCGAGGTACCGTCGATACCTTCGAGTGGCGGAAAGGGAGAATGGGCAGGGACTGGACGCTGGTTTCGGCAGGGTCGCCCCTCGAGGCGCCTCCGCTGGCCACCTGGCACTGCAAGAGCGACTACGTCAAGAGGAACACCGAGCTGGGAGTGTTTGAATTCCATGGGCCGGCGTTGAGCGGGGAGATGGGGGAGACATTCTTGGCGCTGGCTATTATGGCACTTGTGAGAATCTACCACAAGTCATATGAGTCTAAGGTTGCGGCGGGTAGCTCCCCTGCTACCGAGAATGCTACATCGGTACCTGTAGCTGTGGCATAATGTGTATGAATATAAATAGTCTTTCTGATTTGGAGCCTTGAATTTAACACTAGTACCAATATCAATCTCATTATGTGAAACACCTAGTTCAGGTTGGTACCCAGTCCCATAAACACGCAGTAGCTACCTCTGTACACACCTTTAAACTTACTCAAGAAACAAACATACGGCTCAAGGTAATGGGGCTGGCTAGAATAGTGGCTGTGGCGCCTCCAACGGCTACTCGTCCCGCTGATTCGCCAACTTGAGATGTAGGAGCTTACAGCCGACCAGCTCTTCAAGTAGAGAAACACGCAATGATGGCCAAAGGCAAGGGATACTCAGTCAGGATGAAGAATTTCTGGAACACTCAGCACGTTCGTACGTACGCGGAGATGAGGGTAGGTACTGGAAAGCTGTGAGAGAAACCTGGGAAGGGCAAGTGAAGCACCCGTCTCACTAGAT